AATATATAATAATATATAATAATATATAATAATATATAATAATATATAATAATATATAATAATATATAATAATATATAATAATATATAATAATATATAATAATATATAATACTTTTGATAATAATAAATAATCATATTTCATAATATATAAACAAAAAAGGAATTGTCATATTTAATAATATCTAATAATATATAATAATAAATAATAATATCTGATAATATAAAATATATAATATTATATAATATATAATATACAATAATAAAAAAAATAATATACATTACTTTTAATATATATATATAATGTTTAATAATATTTACTAATTTCAAACAATATATAATAAGGTAATACGATATGTAATAATGTATAATGAGATATATAATAATACATAATATGATATGTAATAATGTATCTTGAGATATATAATAATACATAATATTATGTGTAATAATATTAAATATATAATACAATAATTTATAATATGATATTTAATAATATATAATATGATATATAATAATATATAATAAATATATAATATAATATAATATGATATATAATAATATATAATATGATATATAAGAATATATAATATGATATATAATAATATATAAAATAATACAGTATTATACGGATGTGTGTGTGTGTGTGGCCATGGCGGGGCTGGCATTGCAGAAGGAAGGCTGGCGCCAGCAAATGGACGAAATCCGGGCCGTCAGGACCGTCGAGCAGCTCCTGTTTGCTCTTTCGTGGTCCCAAAAACTTCCAAAATCGCGGCCCCCGTTTCTGGGACCAGGGTGTTGCATACACAGTCAGCCCCCCTCTGCATGCAGTGAGTAGCGGAGACTCCGGAACCTTTCGTTTGTTTTCCTGGCAATGGGCTTGACAAAGCCCCATCCAAGTTTCACATTGCCATCATCAAGAATGCATTTTTCATATGCGGATGCGGCCCCAAAAGCGGGCCCTGGTGGCAGCACCGTTTGAGCACAAGCCGACTGACAGCCAAACGCATTCTCCACTACCGAGCTGTGAGGAAACCAATTGCAACGGATTATGTTTGGGAAGGCATGTGGCTCGAAAACAGGCAAGGGGTGTCAGAACCCCAAGGGGACAAACTCCAAGCAGACCACGCTACCCGAAACTATTGCTCCTCAAACCCGCAGGTAAATAAAGGATTACGCCGCTCCCATCTGTGATTACGCCCCTCGTACGTCCGATTACGCCCCTCAAACCTGCATGTAAATAAGGGATTACGTCCTTCCCATCTGTGGTTACGCCCCTCGTACGTCCCGATTACGCTCCTCCAACCCCATGTAAATAAGGGGTTACGTCCTTCCCATCTGTGGTTACGCCCCTCGTACGTCCCGATTACGCCCCTCAAACCCGCATGTAAATAAGGGATTACGTCCCTTTTAGCGCTTTGGCCGTATACTATAGTATATTCCAACGCGCGGACGGGATGCACGGCAACAATTGCACGCCATACACTTCTCCCAAGATGCACGCAAAACAGCTTCCTGACATAAGCGTTGTAAAGGCCGCACGCTGCCAAAGCGCAAGAGGTTAGCATGGCTTCTTGCGGCCCCGGAAAGTGGACCCTTTTCACTGATTCAAAACAGCTTCTGCGCCATGTCCCCTCAGAGTATACAATAATATATAATATGATATATAATAATAAATAATATGATATATAATATATATTATATAATATGAAAAATAATAATATATAAAATGATAAAAACAAATAGTTTTAATATAATAATACATAATATGATATATAATATTAGATAAAATATGATATATAATAATATATAATGATATATAATAATATATAATAAAATATTAGTAATGTATAATAATATACAATAATATATAATAATATATAATAATATATAATAATATATAATCATATATAATCATATATAATAATATATAATAATATATAATAATATATAATAATATATAATAATATACAATAATATATAATAATATATAATAATATATAATAATATACAATAGTATTTAATAATATATAATAATATATAATAATATATAATAATATACAATAGTATTTAATAATATATAATAGTATATAATAATATATAATAATATATAATAATATGATATATAATATGATATTTAATAATATTTAAAAAGGTCTACCATAATATATCATATGATATACAATAATATATAATATTGGATATAAAAATATATAATATGAGCTATAATAATATATTATATGATATATAAAAATATATAATATGATATATAATAATATATCATATTATATATAATAATATATCATATTATATATAATATATAATATGATATATAATAATATATCATATGATATTTTTAATAATATATAATATGATATATAATATGATATCTAATGGGATATATAATATGATTTAAAATATGATATATAATAAGATATAATAATATATATAATAATAAATAATATTATATATAATAATATATAAAATTATATATATAGTAATATATAATATATAATTATATAAGATCATATACGATCATATATATATATCATATCATATCTAACTTGGAGAAATATCAAGGCAAATCGCCATCCAACCGTCTTCTTGGACCGGGCGTCCCGACGAGTTCATTGGCCACCAACAACGACACGCGTGCCAGCACCGAGGCGTACAACGGCACGCCGACGAGCCTCGGTCCGAAGAGATCAATGGGAAATCCATGGGACTTGGTCAAAATTGGAGGCTTAACCCCTGGTAAACATACCAAAAACGATGGAAAATCACCATGTTTAATGGGATTTCATGGGATTTCATGGTGATTTAGTGGGATCTAATGGTGATTAATGGAGGTTTAATTTCTGGTAAACTAACACTTTGCTATGGAAAAACACAATTTTTAATAGGTAAACCATCTATAAATGGGCCATTTTGCATAGCTATGTAACAAATTGCCAGAGGGACTTGGTCAAAATTGGAGGCTTAACCCCGCTTCACTTGGAGGAAAAACCGAGATTTCACTGATTTTGAGCCAAGAAAAATGCTGAACTCAGAAATGTCGAATTTTGAGCCTAGAAATGCTACCTGCCGTTATGATCCCTGAAATCGAACATGGACCTCACGCGTCGAGGTACAGGTAGATTGCGCAGAAGAGCAGCGAGAGTTCGTCCTTGGAGTCCAAGCCTGCGGCTCTGGTAATCATAGTCTTGGTATTTTTCCATTGAAAATGGTATGGTGGTTTAATATGGTTGAATGGGATATCAACTGGCATCATGAGATATTGATGGGCCTCTGGTAATTTGACATACCTCTTGAAAATACCCCATGAAAAGTTCGTTGATTTACCTATTCAAAATGGTGATTTTCTATAGCTGAGCTATGTTAGTTGACCAAAGGGTAAACCAACATAGATGTGGAAAAAAAACATGTCTAGATGAATACCTATAGACAATAGTGATTTTCCACATCTATGTGAGTTTGCCCTAGGGTAGTTTGAATATAATGGGGATATACTGGCAATCATACTGGGATTTATACAAAAATATTCAAGAATGATGGAAAATAACAAAACAATAGTGGGGATTTCATGGGGATATGCTAGGGATTAACTGGGATATAAGAGGAATATCGACAATCTGAGGATATCTATGGGTTTACTCAACCTGTCATTCCATGAATTATAATGGTTGGTCAAGAACGGGATTCCCAGTGAAAATGGATTATGATAATCCCCAGATCAAGGGTAGTATAACCCCTGAACTGATCATCAACCAACAGGTTCATGAACATTGCTCAACTATCAAATCAAATCAGCTGATAATTGAACCAGAAGTGCATCACTTAGCTAACTATGGGGCATCACCTTGCGCTAACCACGAACAAGTAATTTTCTGGAAATGTAGTCCATGAAGGACACAAACTAATCATGCTATCATAGCCAATAACTAGAGTAATCCTAATTACCAACGCCAAAGTGAGGTGAGAAAACTATAGCAAGCAGTACTATGACTATAACTATCACTATAGTGCATAATATTTTCATGATGTTATTTAGTTGTATAATAGTATGAACAATATAGTCATTGCTATTATGAATAACTATATAGTTTTTAGTAATAGTAGTATAACTATATCACAACTACTATTACTATTATTCTTACTTTTATTGCTATTATTGGTATAGCTGAAAGGTAACTATCACGGTATTATACACAACTATTACTCCTATTAGTAGTATATAACTATTGGCAGTTCATATGGATATCATATTGCTATTGGCAGTATTGTACAGTATAACTATTATCATACTATACGGATTATGGCTACAACGCTAACTATTACTATTACTACGATTATTACTATTGTATAACTGTAGCTATAACTACAGAAAAATTCATATAACTATAACTACAGCTATCATAGGTATGATCAAACTTTTTCACTACAGCTGGTAGATGGTTTATCCCATTATATGAATGGGAATTCCAGGATCCTAAAATGGAGGTACTGTACCATATACGGCCATATTTTAGGGGTATATCCCCTGACATAGGCCTGAAAAATAGGCCAAACATATATGGTAGGTACCTCCAATCAATCGGTTCCTGAAATGACCATTCCCATTATTATCCCATGATTTTGCAGTGTTATCAACCAGGATTTCGCCACCATCCATCCACGCGCCTTGGATCCCCACTGTGCTGGTGGCGCTGATGGCAAAGAGCACCGCACGGCTCCAGCCCCAGCCTGCCGCCCCGCCAGAAGCTCCCAATGAGGTCCGGGGAGCGCGGTCGATTTTTCAGGATTTTTCCATTGAAAAAAGTGGTATAAAATATGGTTGTATGATGTTGTATGGGATATCAACTGGCATCATGGGATATTCATGGGTTAGCCTCTGGTAATTTGTTACATAGCTATTGGAAATGACCATAGAAATAGTTGGTTTACATAGTAAAAATGGTGATTTTCCATAGCTAATTATGTTAGTTTACCAGATGGTAGTTCCAGGGATTTCGAATGAAATTTACTGATTGTATCAAACTTATCAACCAACAAATACGATTGAGAACGGATTGCTATGGATTGCTATGGACTGCTCATGGATTATGTGCGATGAATTTCAATGTTTCACGGATTTTATGCAAGAATTGATGGATGTTGACTTGTATTCAACCAAATACGGTTGACTCATATAGTCGAGGATTGCTCAAAGCTGGGAAAATATTATAGATCTTTTGCATCCCATCCGTCCATATTAAACACACCCATTCTATGGTCCCAAATATGTGTGTGTGTTATCCCTAAATCCACCATGGTTCCTAGGGGGTACTTCATATGAACGGGTGAAGTTTATATCCCATTATCTTCTGATTCTATCCTGATGATATTCCAATATCCCATTTTTGCAAGCTTAATATGAACGGAGGAAGGAACTACAGTATTAATTCCATGATCGATATTCCATTCCAGCCCCATATATTTGTCCCTGTATGATTATATATATACCCTCTGGTAAACTAACATAGCTATCGAAAATGGCCATTTATAGTGAGTTTTCCCATTAAAAATTGTGATTTTCCATAGTTTTTTGTATGTCTACCAGAGGGTATCCCTACTCTATCGCAATGTCACCCATTCCGTTGCCACCTGTCAACCCCTTTCCACCTTCATGCACTCGTCCAAAGGCGGTTCCCACCAACCACCAACAGAGCAACGGTAGCAGCGAGAAAATCAGCGACCATCGGCCACTCGCAGAAGGAGCCCAGGGCCGCTTTTCGGCCGCGTCCTGCCCATCCGTACCACTCATGGGTGTGTACCATGGGTGTATCATGGGATAATCATATACAATAATTAATGAGATAATATTGAGTATATGGTATTCATTATTGGAAAATAATCATCCACATTAATAATCATCCACATTAATTAATGAAAATACCATGTGGATTTGTTTTTTCTGGAACTCATATGTGCCATAGTCAAGGCAGGATTGCATAGTCCGGCAGTCGGATGTCTGGCTTCCCACGAAATGGGATGCATGACCATAAGCCACACACCATGGAACTTGACCATGGCACATGTGAAGCTGGTTATTTATATCCCATGAAAAATCTCATTATATGTTCTATCTTCGTTGGTTAATAATCTTCCCTATATATATATATAGTCCTTATATATATATATTCCTGATATATGTATATTCCTTGTATACAGGAATATACATACATGTATATATATATATACATATGCATATATATATGTGTGTATCCCAGATATATATATATATATTCCGTGATAACCTTGAAACCCATGATATCCCAATTATATCCTCAAAATATTCCAAGTATGTTGGGTTGCATCTAAAAACGATCTAATACTCCAGATATACATAATACACATAATATACATATAATACACATATAATATACATATAATATACATATAATATACATATAATATACACAATATACATATAATATACATATAATATACATATAATATACATATAATATACATAATATACATATAATACACATAGAATGTACATACAATATACATATAATATACATATAATATTCATATATTTTACATATAATATACATATAATATACACAATATACATAGAATATACATATAATATACATATAATATACATATAATATACATATAATATACATGTAATATACATATAATATACATGTAATATACATGTAATATACATAAAATATACATATAATATACATATAATATACATATAATATACATATAATATACATATAATATACATCTAACATACATCTAACATACATATAATATACATATAATATACATACAATATACATATAATATACATATGTATTCCATATATAATAAATACAAAATATATACATATATACCATGCATAACTACCTTGAAACCTGATGATTTCTATTGTCGGCGTCCTCCAACAAGTCTGCCACCACGCCGCTCAAAAAATTCACCAAGATGGCCGCGCCCGAAATCACGAAGCCCGCCGTGAAGAAAGCGCTCCAGGCACCTCAAAAACGCGTTGGTTTGTTGTTGGGACATGTATATTATGGGAAAATTTGGACATAGATAGATATACATATACATATACATATAATTATACATAAAATTATACATATACATTTACATACACATACACATTCACATTTACATTTACATTTACATATACATGTACATATATATATATATACATATATATATATATATATTTATTTACATATATATATACATATATATATATACATATACATATACATAGACATATACAAGCGCATACATATACATATATATATATATGTCAAAAATCAACATATAGTATATGCAAAAAATGAGCATACAGTATATGTAAAACTATCAAGTTGGAAGAGTGTTTTTTTCAGGCTGAAATATTGGAAAGAGACTGGCTGTGATGCTTAAAATATCCTGAGTTTAGTAAACCAATCTAAATAAACATATAATATTTTTTTTGCTGGTTAAACTGATGAAGACTCCTACACAGATGCTCCATGGTGCTTACACTCGCACTAACATCTACCTCCAAAATGGCTCATAAACATGGGTTTGTCTGAAAAAAACGGGTATCACCATTCCATCCTCTAGTTTATCATGGTCCCTGTGAAAATTGCCATAAGTTGGGAATTGATCCCCTCTCCAAACACACCCAAAAACCATATACTGTTGGTCATGAGATATTTAAATTTATATTTATGTAATGTTGTATACATATATATAATGGTGTATACATATATATATATAATGTTGTATACATATATATATATATATACATATAATGTTGTATACATAGATACATATATATATATATGCAATGTTGTATACACATGTATATATATATATTATCATATGAATATATATATACATATTTACATCCATCCCCATTATATCCAAAAATCAGAATAAATATTTTGCTGGTGTATAATCCCCTATATTTATATATGTTCGTAAAACTGCCGGTTGTACCCCATCAGTACATCATCAGTACATCCACAATATCGTTGAAATCACATTTACAAATTTCAATGTCTCTTTAAAAAATCAAGAGCTGGTGGTTTAAAATATTTAAAAAAACAATCAGAATAAACATTCTAAAATGAAATGGTGGTTTAGATCCCTATGACCTGCCATAATTTTCCCATAACACCATCAAATCCCACTGGCTGGTGGTTTTTTCTACCCCTCTGAAAAATGGAGTTCGTCAGTTGGGATGATGACATTGAAATCATTGCCAATGGAAAGTCATAAAATTCCATGGTTCCAAACCACCAACCAGTATAAATAAGTTAAGGCAATTGGGGGATGATTCCCCTCAATTGCTAACCATCATTCCCCATATATAAACCACCAACCAGCCCATGAAAATCTCCCAGCTTAACTAACTATAGATGTTCATAGTTATAGTTTTTCCATGACATCCCCAGCAGAGGCCACCTTTTCCCCCTCGCCCGTAACGCCAGTTTTTGTTGATCCAAAGGTATCCATTCACCTCCACATGGGAAAATTACTCTCCCGTCAGACGGCCTCGGGGAGTTAGGACGCCAAAGCCAACGGCCAATGCCTTGCTCTGAGATCGTGTAAAAATTCACTTGGTTTACACATATATATATATAAATATTATATATATATATATCCAACTAGTTAATGGGTGGTATAACATGTTATAACCCAACTATTTATGGATATCTATGGTTAATTTAATTTGTTTACTTCTGTTTTTCTTATCCAATTAGTTGATGGGGGTTCAACCAACTTATGGCCAACGTGTTTGACAACTGAGACATGAGGGGACCATCATCCCGTCCTCGGGGATGTTAGAAAAAACGCTGAGACCAGCAACATCCACTATACTTGGGATATAACACGATAGGAAACTAATTCAATTACAGAAAAACTGATTGTTTAATGGAATTAAGGAAAATCAAAACAGCAATCATGTTACAGTGGATGTTAATTTATAGCCATAAAATGTTAAAACGGTTTAGTAAAGTTAAATTAAACTAAGAACATATCAATTCTCGTTAAACTATCAGATATACTTAATTAGTAGGAACCCTCCCTAAGGATCCAGACAAGCTGAAACTTACCACTAATTTCAGATTGGGATGCTGTTTACTTCTCTACATCATTTGGGGGTTTGCTGTAATGTTGTGAGCCCTAAACCACTTAAACCACACCTAATTTACCCAATTTGGCCTGTTTACTCTTTGATAATTTAACGGGCAGGACTGAGGGTTGTCCCGGAATGGTCGTATGAACGTCAGTGGGAAGCTCATTTCTCTGCGCAGGCGCAGTGTTTTATGACTCTGGTACATCTGTGAGTTAGCGTGGTCTAAGACGAATTTTTGGAAAAATCAGTCAGAAAAGCGAACCCTCTGCGGACTTCACGCGTTTCGGCCATTTCCACTTTTTCAATCTTTTCCACTTTTTGGCGAGTCCGGATCTTATAACTTCTGTAAGTAAACCCTAAATGAAACCCCTAATAGAAGTTTGCGTATATGTTCCATGGGGCCAGGAGATTATGACAAGGAAATGTTGACAAGGAAATCCCCACACACTGGGATAATGGAACCAATGGGTTGCTTGCTCCGCTCACCCTCGTAGGGTGAGGGGTTGTCCCTTCGGGACAACCCCTCGTCCTGTGGGTAATTTAACATAGCCATGGAAAATCGCCATTTTGAAGAACGAAAGATCCTCTATAGGTGGCTATGTGCCATAGCCATAGCTATCTTAGTTTACTGGAGGGTAATGAGCATGGAGGAATTGGGGGAGTTCAGAACGTTGCTTTGCTACACCAGATGAAGGTCTGGACCGCAGCCTTGGGAAGCCCCAAACCATTTCTTGGTACCCTCCAGTAATCAAACATGGCAATAAACAATCCACCATTAATAGATGATGTTCCCATCAAAACCTATATTTGTAGGAGAGCTTCCATTGCCATGTTTGATTGCCAGAGGGTAATCCAATGGCTACCGATCGTTTTGCACGACCCATCTGTGAAGGCTGAGGGGTACATGTTGGCCAAAACCACCATGGTGTTATCTGACATATATTCGGGCATTCTTTCTGGCATATATTGCAAAGGCGTCGGACGCCGAGTAATGGAAAACTGCCCCGCTTATGGGGGGGGTTGTTCAATCGGTCCCCCACCGATCTTAAAAATCCCCTCTTATGGGGGATAGCATGCAAGGAGCTCAGTTACACTATGAGTTGCACCTCACGAGAATCGTGCTAAAAAGCGCGGCAACATGCTGCCATACCATTTCTGCCATTTCGCCACCATTTTATCCGCTTTTGGCCCGGCCTTCCGTGGTATTCAGTTGACGAGCTCCCAGCTCTAACAAGGCCCTGGCAGTTCTGGGATGGTGGATAGGAGCATATTGGTAGATGGATAGACATGGCATAGTTGGTGCGGGAGAACAATCAGGTCACCAATGAGATACTCATGTCTGATGGGAATCATTTGGGATTGTAGCCAACCACCATGCTCTGACATTGAGGCAGCACCATGCTTCGGTTTAAAACCTGTTGGTCTGAAGCGCCAGAATTGATTTGGAAGCTGCCAGTCTTGAACATTTCGACCATGGGACCGGTTTTCATCAAACCCCTGAGAGGTCGGGGCGCCGAGCCAACTGTACAAGGCATCATCTCCAGGTGCACGTTAGCATAATGTATGAATAAACACATACAGCATGCATACATAAATATAGATATGTGATGATATGTGCAAGTGAATGTGCCGAATAACCACCAATTCACCAATGCCTCCTGATTCTTTGGATCCCTTTTCAGATTAGCCCGATCCATGACCGCTGCCTATTCTTCAGCTCCAATTGCAATGAAGACATGGCATCTTTGGAAAAACAATCATGTAGCAACAGACATGCCTCTTGACTTAAGTCATTTGTGTGTGCAGGGCGCCCGTGCTTCTGTGAGTTTTGCAAGGATAGAAAGTGCATGCTAGGGCAATGTGGATTTAAGGGGAACGATATCCCATCAAGGGTTCTTGGAACAGAGAATAAACTGATCTGAAATGCCCCACTTGAGTTTTGCAATGATCTCCGAGATGGGCTAACTCAATGACTTGGACATGTTGAATCACCTCGTGTCTTTGCAGAAAATGCGGTTAATTATATTAGCTCAGCTTGATTCAACCTCTGAACAGCTGAAGCAGCATGCAGGTCATACATGTTGAAACTCTGGTCCCTGGTCCCTAGCTTCTAGGCACAAGTGACAACATAAAAAAATAGCATGCCAGTCAGTATTTTACCATCTTTCAACGCTGAACTGCCTTAGAATCAATGTGCCAGTTCATCAATCCCAAAACAGGCACAACTGTCCAGTCATGGGCCCAAAGCCACAACAACAAAAAACCAAAAAACGGGGTAGGGAAAAAGTTAAGTTCTTCCCTGCCCCTGTTGGTGCAGACGGCTTGATCGTTCCACTGTATGTGTTACCAAAAGCACGTTAATCTTTGAAAAACAAATGATTGCGTGGCTGGTGAAAAAGCAACAGGTACAGTATCTTCTTAATTTTTGGCCGATGGTTCATTGAAATAACCAGACTGAGGCCCTGTGGTATCTCTTCTGGCGTGTGACGCAGTGGGTATGCCTAAGCACGTTCATGTTGACACTCCATCACGTGTATGATGGATAGGCTTGCTTGGAGGCGATCAAATGACACCACCAACACCAGCACCATCATCATCATCAACACCAACGCCAACATCAAACTCACCACAGCCCGCCGACAGCATGACATCAGACTGACACCCTTCTCGCATCCCAATGACTCTCACATGGCTGTAGTTCAAAAGCATGGTGCCTGCCTACCATCCAAAAATGGACCAATAGGTTTTGAACCCAAGCCATGTGTGGTTTTATTTTCTGTCTTCACATCAACCCTGGAGACTCTGCTAATTCCGTGGATGGTAACAAAACACTTCTTATGAGTTACGTTCGTCTTGTGCTAGGGCGGGGTACTTTGCATGACCTGAATCCATTGCAAATTTGTGTGGTTGATTGTGGTTGAAAACCCTGCCACGCAACTACTATGTAATGGTGCCACAGGTTGTGGATCATGGTCATGTTTCTTACGTCATGCGGTGAATGGAGATCTCACAAAATGACACGAACACGGCAGGCCAAAGCTGATACAAAAGCGCCATGGCCCCTGAGCCCATTACTCTCACAGGGGTGGCCCATGTCCTCGCATCTTAGACACACCTTTGTCAAAGATGGCCCCAACATCTGCCATGCCCCAAAACATGCCATTGCGGGGCCACCACTTGACTAACACTTTGGGGTTAAAACAACATGCTAACAGAACTGGTAGCTCCGCTTGTAGCGTGATCCAGTTGTAAGGAAAACACTTAGCAAATCGAAGAACCTCCGGAGTTGCCAACAGAACTCCGCGAATCGATCCGTGGAGATCCCTGCTGAGATCCTTCAAAGATGTTCTTCGCCTCCGGACGGAAGATGGTGGCAGGGATGATGATGGTCACGTGATGTTGTGAGCCTTTGCAGCCTCATCTGCGAAAAGTTCAACATGTTCAAACATCCGACTCTTAGATGCATTAGTCAATTCTTGGCCACGCGAAGTCGGGCAGTCATGGCCATCGGCATTGCTGCTGTGAGTTGCCGGTTGTCGCGTGGCACCAGGGTGACACGTGCGTGAAACTGGACCAAAGCACTACAGTACTTAAAAAAAGGAGCGCCGGTTCTTTGCCAGGCTTTCTCTCAGACGTTCATTCAGCTCCTTGGTGTCTCGGCACCGGGATCGAAAACATGACAAAAGGCAGGTGCTCACAATGGCGGCGCAAGTTACGAGGGAAGGCAAAATCAACTGAGGCCGGCTCGGCTTCCAGCAACTTTTTGGAACTCTGCGACCCGGGTGCAACCTGACGCTAACCCGTGGCTCATCCAGTGGAAGATGTGGAAGGCATGCAAGCAAGGGACCTACGCATACAAAGGACTTACTTTCCTGAGTCATCTATCTATGTACCTATCTATCTGTACTTAGTCTGCCTGAACTACCTATTCATTTAGCCAGCCAGCTACCTGATTCATCTAATCGACCGAATCTGTCGAATCTATCCAACCTATCAATGTCTAAGTGTCTAATCTATCTGCCTGTCTGCTCTGTCCACCTCTCTTTCTATCATCTATCCATCCATCTATCCAGCTAACCTACCTAGCAAGCTATACAATCAATCTGCCTACCCACCTGCCCATCTACTTATTTATCTGTCTATCTCCCTGCCTATCTATCTATCCATCTACCTACCTACCTACCTAGCTATCTATCTATCTATCTGTCTGTCTGTCTATCTATCTATCTATCTATCTCTATCTATCTCTAACTCTGTCTATCTCTATCTCTATCTATCTCTATCTCTATCTATCTATCTCTATCTATCTTTATCTATCTTGAACTCTATCTACCTCTATCTATCTATCTCTATCTATCTATCTATCTATCTGTCTGTCTGTCTGTCTGTCTGTCTGTCTGTTTGTCTGTCTGTCTGTCTGTCTGTCTGTCTACCTCTGTATCTCTGCATCTCGCAACCACGAATAGTCCAACCCCACCACGGTAAAACGCCTGGGAATAGCAATCCTTTTCTGTGGGTTGTTGGGGGCGCTGCCGCGTGCTTCTGTTGAGCCCGGTGCCTGGAATTGCAGCAACAGCAGGAGTCCCGATGCCTGTCCTAGTTCGCCAAGTGACGAAAACATGCAATGTGGATCCCCAGGGAATGCAAAAACTGTAAGTCCTTGAGGGGTCACGGCGGCAAGGTTGCCGGCCTGCACAACGCGCACGCACTGCATGACTGGCAGGGGTGCTCGCTCAGAAACAGCGGGTGTTTTCCATGGGCGCAGCATGGGTTGATCATATCATATACAGTATTTTTCGGTGTTTTGTTGCTTCATTCCCTGAAGTGTGTGTGTGTGTGTTGTCCATGCTCATGTCGGTATGTCATTGGAACCTTCCATTCTGCATGCATACGAAGCTTTTTCTCTAGAATGTGCAATGTTGCATGCGGTTTTATCATGTTTTATCCGTGTTTCGGATGTGGTTTTCATGTACTGCCTTGCCTCGTTCTCCTCAAAGAACTCGCATGCTTGGTCACCGTCTGCGTCGATGAACATCGGTGGCGACTGCCTCGAAGAAACCAATGTGGACATGTGGTGGACCAAGATTCCAGGCAAACTGGGACCTTAAGATACCTTAAGCTCCTTAAGGGGCAAGCCTTTCTACCGCTGGTTGCCAATGTGGGCATTCTAAGGTCCGTGCAAGCAGGTACCGCCTGAGCCATCTGGGGTGTCCATAATCACCTGCAGGCCGCTGCGAATGGACTGAAGCCGGTGCAAGGCCACTTCCTCTGAGGAGGCTTCTGAGGAGCGCACCGGCTGCTGTGGCGGGGCACGGGGAAGAAAACGTCCACGCGTGTTGGCCTTGTTTCAGTTTCCTATTGAGTTTGCTCATGTCAGACAATTGGATCATTCTGAATCATTCCTCGGAAGGCGCTCTAGAGTTCATCAAAATTATGACACACTGTGACAGTCACTGTGAATCTGCAACGCAGAGTAATTAACCAAATGTGGAGACACCAGATCCACCAACCCAACTGTAACGCCGGAGCAAGGTTGCACCATCTTCAACGCAGCTGGCCCAACATACTCAAAAAAACGACCAATTTATGCAAGTGGTCTAGAGAGGCCTGGCACAACATTTGCATTGCAGTGGTCAGGTTCAAGGTCTTGCTCGCACTTAGTCAGTTGGTTGCTGACTCAGTCAGTTGCTGGTTCACTTGGTTATGTACTTGGGCCATCAGCCGGTTGGCAAGAGAGGCAGCTAGCTGGTTAATTGGCTTCACTGGGTGGGCTTGCTTAGTCGCTTTCTTCTTTGGTTGGGTATGGCCGGCATGTTGTATGCGCAGTCACACGCAGTCAAGCACTTAATTTTTTGGTCGGCGAGTTAGTCAATGCGGTTTGCTCAAGAGGCAGCGCCTTGCTTTGCTGGCTGGACGAGCCAAACAGTATCAAGCAGTCTGGTAGTCCAGGGTGGTAGCCGTTAGTTGGTCAAATTGCTCGAGTTCCACACTTCCAGTTCTGTTGGAAGGTTAGTCTGCTGCTGAGTCAGTGCTTCAGGCAACTAGTCAACTTACGAGTCAGCTAGCGTGGCTCAGCTGCGCAGTTTACCCTTAGTCCATTGGACTTCGCTAGTTGAACTAGTTCCTTTCGTAAGTACAAGTTGCTCAGCTAAGATGGTGAGTCAGCCTCACTTTGCTAAGTGCATCATAGAGAGTCAGGGCATGCTGAGTGCAAATTGCCTCACTTTGCCAAGTTCCTGGCTCGAAGTTGCTCAAGCTTGCGAGCTTTATTGCTTGCATGACTTGCGAGTGGTTTGCTGCCCCAGCAGAGGCCACAAATAGAGGCCACCAAGTCCTATGGAGACAGCGAATGAAATACATGAAAACACCGCCAGGACACAGCATGTTCAGAAAACACGGCAAAGACCCCTGGAATCTTTTGCTCATTGTGTCCACTGCTTGGCCAAGGATCAACCCAAGCACGTAGAATTGCACCAGCAAGAGCCATGGCAGATTTGCAAATAGAGCGCGGGGTTTTGAGCTGAAAACTTGCAAACGGTCCATGCCAGGGACAGTCGCGCGGAAAAAGTCCGATAAGACCCAGTAATAAAGACTTGTCATGCGGTGACACCGGGATTCGGGATGCAATGAGTCAGAGAGATCCTCTAATAATGAGCCAAACAACCACTGCTCAGCCAGCTCGGCTTCAGTTGAGTTTCTCACGCTATTGAGAATTCACCCGCACGCTGTAGCCGGCCTCATGCGTGAAACAAAACGGGATGCATGGATTCAATTTGGCTCTGTGGTGGGGAATGTCGTTGATGTCACATGCAAGAATCCCACAAGAGATCCAGCGGAAAGAAAATACAGTACACCAAAGTGCCAAAACATGTTTCAGATCACATGAACTTACCCCATCATGATGAGAACGACCAGAATCCACTTGCACCAAACTAGACCATGGTGACTGGTAAATGTAGTTAGGCATAGTTAGGGTAATGTACTGTGCGTGACTCATGAAATGAAGTGAAACCAGCAACTCAAGCCTGATTGAAAAATAGGAGTAGATGCAACTTCAATGCAACAAAAGTGAGATCAAGTGCAAATAGGAAGTGCAGAGCGATGCATGAAGCACTGTGAGAGAAAGTCATGACACATATGGGAAGTGCAAGCTGGGCGTGTGCATAGTCAATCGTAGATACAGGTAACCAGTCTTCAAACGCGACACAATGCAGATTGTAACATGAATATAATATAAGGCGATGATGAAATCCATTGCACATATGTATAAACATGTATATAACAAGCTGCCCATGGAACGAGTGACAAGAGCAAAACACAAAACATGACACGCGGCCGAAAAAACATCATAAAACACATGATACAACATGCAATGAATCGCCCATGGAACCAGCACCAGAAGCAAAACGAGAACGCACTTGACAATGGACTCGAGATTCGAGATTCGAGGTTCGAGGTTCGAGATTCGAGATTCGAGATTCGAGATCCGAGATTCGAGATCCGAGATTCGAGATTAAAAATTCGAGATTCGAGATTCGAGATTCGAGATTCGAGATTCGAGGTTCGAGGTTCGAGATTCGAGATTCGAGATTCGAGATCCGAGATTCGAGATTCGAGATTCGAGGTTCGAGGTTCGAGATTCGAGATTCGAGATTCGAGATTCGAGATTAGAGATTCGAGATTCGAGATTCGAGATTCGAGATCCGAGATTCGAGATTCGAGGTTCGAAATTCGAGATTCGAGATCCGAGATTCGAGATTCGAGCGAGGTTCGAGGCTCGAGATTCGATCCGATCCGAGATTCGAGATTCGAGATCCGAGATTCGAGATTCGAGATTCGAGATTCGACATTCGAGATTCGAAATTCGAGATTCGAGATTCGAGATTCGAGATTCGAGATTCGAGGATCGAGATTCGAGATTCGAGATCCGAGATTCGAGATTCGAGATTCGAGATTCGAGATTCGAGATTCGAGATTCGAGATTCGAGATCCGAGATCCGAGATTCGAGATTCGAGATCCGAGATTCGAGATTCGAGATTCGAGATTCGAGATTCGAGATTCGACATTCGAAATTCGAGATTCGAGATTCGAGATTCGAGATTCGAGGATCGAGATTCGAGATTCGAGATCCGAGATCCGAGATTCGAGATTCGAGATTCGAGATTCGAGATTCGAGATCCGAGATTCGAGATTCGAGATTCGAGATTCGAGATTCGAGATCCGAGATCCGAGATTCGAGATTCGAGATTCGAGATTCGAGATTCGAGATTCGAGATCCGAGATTCGAGATTCGAGATCCGAGATTCGAGATTCGAGATTCGAGATCCGAGATTTGAGATTCGAGAGTCGAGATCCGAGATTCGAGATTCGAGATCGAGATCCGAGATTCGAGACTCGAGATCCGAGATTTGAGGTTCGAGATTCGAGATCCGAGATTCGAGATTCGAGATTCGAGATTCGAGATCCGAGATCCGAGATTCGAGATTCGAGATTCGAGATTCGAGATCCGAGATTCGAGGTTCGAGATCCGAGATTCGAGGTTCGAGATTCGAGATCCGAGATTCGAGATTCGAGATTCGAGATTCGAGATTCGAGGTTCGAGATTCGAGGTGTCGAAGCGTTGCCGGTGACCATTGCCACGTTCGATCTCCAAAAAATACACGTGTAATCCCGTCAGGATTGAACACAGGAAATGCATTTCCAGTACTTGGTTAACAATGCTGGTGATCCAGTGCCGGTTGCGTGAGCCCAGGATGTTTCGATTAGCTCTTGGCACAGCCTCAATTGGCCCAAGATGAGCCTAGCATAGCCCCTGCGTGGCACAACGCAGCCCCTAATATAGCCCCGCATAGCCCAAGATGAGCCCAGCATAGCCCTGCGTTGTGGCCCAACATAGCTCCTGACACGGCCCCAAATGGCCCAAGATGAAGCTAAAATGGCCCACGCGTAGCCCAACATGGGCCCAAGATGGCTCCATATGGCCCAAGATAAGCCTAACATAGCGCATGCGTAGCCCAACATGCGCCCAAGATAGCTCCAAATGGCCCAAGATGAGCCTAACATAGCCCCTGCGTGGCCCAACATAGCTCCTGACACAGCCCCCAAACGGCCCAAGATGAGCCTGACATGGCCCCTGTGTGGCACAACGCAGCCCCTATCATAGCCCATGTGCAGCCCAACATAGCCCCTGACAGCCCCAAATGAGCCTGGCACGGGCCCAAGTAACCCGTTGAAACCGTTTGTCCCGAACAAATGGCCCAACAAAGCCCCAGCACAACCCCCAAACCGCCCAAGATGAGCCCAACATAGCCTCTTATATGGCGCAGCACAGCCCCCAACGCAGCCCCAACACAGCCCCAACACAGCCCCAACATGAGCCTAGCATGCACATCACATACATAACATGCATAAGATAAGATAACATAAGATATCATAAGATAACATAGGATAACATAACATAACATAACAGAAAGTAACATAACATAACACGTCATAGCATAACACGTCATAACACGTCATAACAGTCATAACACAACACCACACAACACCACACAACACCACACAACACAACACAACACAACACGACACGACACGACACGACACAACACAACACGACATACCATAACATTACATTACATAACACGTGAACACATACAGTAATAAATGCAGGAACGCACGCATGCACAGTTAAATAGATACATATAGAGACGGAGGGATGGATAGATAGATGGATGGATGGATAGATAGATAGGTAGATAGGTAGATAGGTAGATAGGTAGATAGATAGCTAGATAGCTAGATAGCTAGATTGCCAGATAGATAGATAGCTAGATAGATAGATGGATGGATGGATGGATAGATAGATGGATGGATGGATGGATAGATAGATAGATAGGTAGATAGGTAGATAGGTAGATAGATAGCTAGATAGCTAGATAGCTAGATAGCTAGATAGGCAATGCACGCAGAATGCATTGAACCCTCCTGGTGTGACATCATGCCATATCAAAACTGTTTGTCAGCAAGACATCATGAAATCCTTGGAATTCATTGGAATTCCATACCACGTGCATCCACGCACCAAGTCTTTCTCTCATATATTCTCCGATTATAGCTGAAGCCAATCCTGGAACATGAACATCATATATATCATCATATCAAAAATCATTCAGGATCTCTTCACCGTGCTGAACATCTCCTGCGCTAGGTTGGTCAAGGCTTCTTTGCAACGTGTTCAGGGCTGTGGTCTTGCCACTGAAGGGCATGCCGACCAGCATCACGCTGTGCCTTTGTGAAAAGGAGGACTCAGCTGACAGTCAATGCGAGCAAACATGACTTCGCTTGTCTTCGCTTCCTCTGTTTGGGTCTTCACGAACAAGAATCAACCAGATCGATCACCATGATCAATCTGGTCTGAACACATGGATCAATCCAGTTCCTGTGTGTTGGATCCCAGCCTTACGAGGTGGCATGCGTAGAACTGGATGATCTTGTCGAGGAAATAGGGATGCGCCTGGCTTCGCTGTTGTTTCTACTTCGGTTCGTTTTGATGGGTCGGTGGTTCGGTTGATTTCGGATCGATGAACGTCCGTGAAAAACAACTTGTGTGGTTGGTTTAAAGCAGGTGGTGTATATTTGGCGCAGAATGCATCAAGAGATTTGTTGTATTTTTCAATCCAAACTTAAGATGGCTTGGGTGTTTCGCAAAACAACTCAAAACAACTCAAAAGATCAGAAACTTCAGAAATATACTGGAATCCTCATCCTGAAAAATATGGGAAGGATTGCAAACCACCAGTTTGGGACCGATATGGTACATATATGATGGTATTATACCCAACTGCAACACTGCGAAAATTGATTCGATGATTGCACCCCTCAAGTTTCACTTCACATGAGGAAGCAGCAACAAAGATTGAATGATCCCAGATTTGAACTTCACAAGAATAACCTGAATAAACTCCAAGTCACCTACATCTTTACCAACGGCCAAGTAAGACGCCACAACTCAGGAAGTTCTGCGAGAGCTTTTCAGGCAAGTCCCGTCCTGTCAGCTTCAGTTGGGGGTCTCATGGTTATCGGATGTTATTGGCAAGTGCGCGGTCAAGAATTGTGATGTTCGCGATGCTTGCCTTCCATTCAATCACCAATAGTGTCTCGACATGTCTCGACTCCTGTAGGTGGAAACACTTTTTCATGCTGCCCAGCTGAAACCTTATGACGCTTGTTATATTTGGATGCCTGTGTGACACTGCCATCAATTGGTCATGAAAGGCCACGGGTTCGTCATGCATTTGTCCTTGTCCTGCTCACCGCGGAACAAGAAGAATAAACGGTAATAAACGCATCTCGGTACCTGGGAAGCGAGTGCTGACAAACCAAGTTGGGTCTTCAGCTCCAGCAAGCCCATCTCAGTTGTTGGAAGCATTTGTGTCTCGAGTTTTAGCTGTTGGAAGCATTGGTTCACGGGGTTTTTGGCGGAAAATGCCCTCATCCTTTGCTTATAATTGTTTTTTCAATGTACATACTTAAGTGGTTTTCGGCATACTTTCTTGTGTGTTTTCTACGCATCGCACCCGTATCGACCCCGCGCCGTAGTGCATAGTAACCTAGTTTCCCAGCAAAAAGACGCATGTAGCCAAAACCCGTACTGTACCATTTCTATGCTTTTCCGTAATCTTGATATCTCCACAAATGACACATTGTGGTGGTGTTTTAACAGGTGCAGAAACATTAGAATCCAATTGATTTAAACTTCTTTGCAACTTTCCACATCTGTATAATTAAACGCCGAGCTTGAACATGAAGCACAAACACTGATTAAGAAGGAAAACGAAGCATAAAAGCAGTTTTATTGAGGATTGTTCTCGTTTTTTCCTTTTATCGTTTTTCAGCCCACATCACACCTGAGAGATTGTGGGCAACATTCATATAAATCAAATCGAACGGGGTTATTCCAAACTTCCAGATGATGTTTGTCTGTTGCATCAATATTTTTCTCAACCGCTGCAGTCCAACCTGGTCAAAATTGGATAAAATTGGTCCATTCTCTGCTCTGGCCTGGGAAAAGTGTTGGCTCAGCACAGGCCTTCCAGCGTGGCATCTAGGCAGTTTAGCTGTTCTGAGCTAAGGGATGGTCACAAAGCTCTCTTGAAGGTCAAGGCTGAAGTTTAGTCCATTGCTCTGCCCCTAGGTCCAAAACTCCCCAAGCTTGACCATCATGCTTTTGACTGAGCATTCTTATTTGCGGTGGCCCCGCCTTGGGCTCTGCAGCCTTTGCAACCTGGAAGATCGGAGCCACTGCGGAGTCGGTTGGCAGGTGTTGGTTGCACACGGGAAAGACTGGTTGAAACCTGTTGAAATTATCAACAAGTGGAAATGAACATGTTGCATCCAAAAACAGGGTTGGACACAGTGATTGATTTCTGAGTGGCACGGATTGGCGGCCACCGGGCACAGCTGGGTTTCCATCTAACATGGGCGTGCCACTAAAAATCATGAAAACAGCTGGTCAATTATCAGACCCTCAAGAATTGCGATTTGGGAGTAGCCCCACTGTAAAACACCTGAAAACGTTGCAATATTTTCCATGTTCTGTCCACCCCCGAATTTGCCTCCTCCGCTTCTTTGGCCGCTTTCGCCTGGAAGATCGGAGCCAGTTTAGTGTCGGTTGGCAGCTGTTGGTTGCAAATGCGAAAGACTGATTGAAACATGTTCAAACCATCAACAAGTGAAAATGAACATGTTGCATCCAAAACCAGGGTTGGACACAGTGTTTGATTTCTGAGTGGCATGGATTTGGGGCCACCGGGCACAGCTGGATTTCCATCTAACATGGACGTGCCACTAGGTCCAAAAACTGGTTCTCAGTAGCCACACTCTAAGGCACCTGAAAACGTTGCAATAGTTTCATATTCTATCCACCCCCGCCTTCGCCTCCTCCGCTTCTTTGGCCGCTTTTGCCTGGAAGATCGGAGCCACTTCGGTGTCGGTTGGCAGCTGTTGGTTGCAAATGGCAAGACTGATTGAAACATGTTCAAACCATCAACAAGTGAAAATGAACATGTGTGCAGCAAAAAAAGAAGGTTGGGGACACTGTCTCAACTTTGAGTGATATGCACATCCTCAAGAATTGACTCGAACCAGGGGAAATGGTTGCAGAATGTTGTGTGGAATGCCTGCCATGGGACCGGTTGTTGTTTATCAACTCATTTGGGAAAGAAATACCCGAGGCCCAGCGACAAACTACAGCCTGCGCTCCGAAAGCTTTGATACCTGAAGCAACAAACTCCACAGCCCACGGCGGCACCATCTACAGCAGCTATGCCAACACAAAAATGGGCCAAACGGACACATGGAGCATGTGGGCTGACAAGTTCTGCTGTGGAAAACATACCAGGGCTAAATTACGAATCCTCATGATCAGTGGCAGTCATGTGCCGAGTCCTTTGCATTGCAGGGTGGTGTTCTAAAACCAACTTCCACCTCTCATGTTCATGATTTGGCACCATCAAAAGTGGGCAAAATAAGAAACACCTCGAAACACCCATCTTGAGAACCTTGGCATGGCATTGTGCAATGGAGTTGGCACAAGAAATCTATATACTGTAATTACATGATCAAAGGAAGTTTAGAAGTCTAACTTCCGACTATATTGACAGTTGCCGCCAGGTCTCGAAGAATCGCTGTTGGACGGGAGAGATGTTTTACAGCACAGATGCGCGACATGAGGGATTTTGGCGGGTAGGAATTGCGCGAAATGCTGTGGTTTTCCATAGTTTTGTGGCTTCGCAAGCTCGCAAAGTCAGCTTGCAAAAACGGGAGTTGCGGAGGACCGGCTGCCCAAGATGCCTACAAAATTTGCACCACGCTGTGGCGCGAGAGCGATTTGGAAGTCAAAATCGTAAAAAACTGGCAGGCTCGGAGCACTTTCGGAAGTTGAGGTCCGCAAAATTTGCACCACGCTGTGGCGCGAGAGCGATTTCGAAGTCAAAATTGTTAAAACATGGCATGCCCGGAGCACTTTTTGAAGTTGAGCTCTGCAAAATTTGCACCACGCTGTGGCGCGAGAGCGATTTCGAAGTCAAAATCGTTAAAAACTGACGGTCTCGGGACGTTTTTTGAGGTTCAACTTGCGTTTCGCGTGGCAGGCGCAGGGATTCCGGCACGTTGCAAAATACGTGGCAGGCGCAAGAGTTCGTGAGGGTTGCAAAAACGTTGGCAGGCGTGGTGGATTTGAAGAGGGTTCGAAATGATGCTTTTTGCGTGGCAGGCGCAGGGATTTCGGGCTTTGTGAAATCGAGGTTTGAGGCCTCGGACGCTAAATCCGTGGAAGGGTTGCAAATTTCATGTCACGGAAGTGTTACTTCGCAGGGATCATTTCGCGTGGCAGTTACAGGAGTTCGTATGCCTCGGCTCAACTTTTTCGTGGCAGGCGCAGTACTTTTGAAGCATCCACTTAAAAATCGCTAAAACGTATTGTAATTCTGACGTCAAGTGTCTGGTCGACATGTTGTTTTTGAAGGAAGTCTCGCAGAAATGCTTCGTTTTTGAACTTCGAAGTTCCATTTTTGAAGGAAGTCTCGCAGAAAAGCTTCGTTTTTGAGCTTCAAACTTCAATTTTCGAAGGAAGTCTCGCAGAAAAGCTTCGTTTTGGAGCTTCAAACTTCAATTTTTGAAGGAAGTCTCGCAAAAATGCTGCGTTTTTCATCTTCGAAGTTCCATTTTCGAAGGAAGTCTCGCAGAAAAGCTTCGTTTTTGAGCTTCGAAATTCCATTTTTGAAGGAAGTCTCGCAGAAAAGCTTCGTTTTTGAGCTTCGAAGTTCCATTTTTGAAGGAAGTCTCGCAAAAATGCTTCGTTTTGGAGCTTCAAAGCTTCATTTTTGAAGGAAGTCTCGCAGAAAAGCTTCGTTTTTGAGCTTGAAAGCTCCATTTTTGAAGGAAGTCTCGCAGAAAAGCTTCGTTTTTGAGGTTCAAAGCTCCATGTTTGAAGGAAGTCTCGCAGAAAAGCTTTGTTTTCAATCTTTCTGACATAAATTAAATTTCAATTAAATTGAATCTCAGATCAATGAAATCTCAAAGCAATTGAATGCCAAACCAGTTGAATTTCAAATCATTTGAAGTTCAAACCAATTGAATCTCAAATCATTTGAAGCTCAAATCAGTTGAATCTCAAAGCAACCGAATCTCAAATCAACTGAATCTCAAACTAATTCAATCTCAAACCAGTTGAAGTTCAAACCAAGTGAATCTCAAATCAATTGAGTCTCAAATCATTTGAGGTTCAATCACTTGAGCCTCAAGGCAACTGAATCTCAAATCAATTGAATCTCAAATCAATTGAATCCCAAATCAAGTGAATCTCAAATCAATTGAATCTCAAATCAATTGAAGCTCAAATCAATTGAATCTCAAATCAATTGAATCCCAAATCAAGTGAATCTCAAATCAATTGAATCTCAAATCAATTGAAGCTCAAATCAATTGAATCTCAAAGCAACCGAATCTCAAATCAATTGAATCTCAAACCAATTCAATCTCAAACCAGTTGAAGTTCAAACCAAGTGAATCTCAAATCAATTGAATCTCAAACCAATTGAATTTCAAACCAGTTGAATTTCAGATCACTTGAATTTCACACCTCCTTCCTATAGGTATCTTATTTTTGGAAACTTCCGCCACCGCCTCGTGCGGTAGATATGTTAAAAATGGCAATCTACATGTATATAATGCAACACTTCTTGCTGTTTTGCTGACCTGGCGCCAAAACTGAACCTGCGCTGACTGCACATTGCAATTTTAGCAAAGGCATTTGCCAAGAGTCAATGACGCATGAAGTGAAGCACAAAAGGGGATAGAAACAAGCCTTGCGAATGATTCTGCACAATGACGGGCAGAGTCAGAAATATGATGAAAGATGTGCTGCAGGTCATGCCGCTCCGTGTTGGCGGCAGGGCTGTCATTGAGCCCTGCACGAGGGTTGGCTACACTGCTACACATGCACCGGTGAAAAGAAGTCCAGCCGATCAAAAATCATGGAACTCATCTCGTGGAAATCGGGCAGGCACTCAGTCCTCGGGCGGGATGACAGGACAATGCAGCTCCTGTGGGCCAGCAAAGGAAAACAGATGCGCAAAAGCCCTGGAACAAAGAAGTGAGGTATGAGTTGCTAATGGTACTGTACGTGAATGTACGTGGGGGCGCCCCACTGACGACATGTAAATCTGGCAACAGCTTCCCAACAGTTCCTGGAGCCGCTGTTGAAAAAAGGCAGTAATCTCGTCGGCCGAGAACCTCAAATCACTGGCTCTTCAGTCCACTTTTGACTGCGGAATGCCAAGGCTGGGGCTCGCCATCGCCCAGTTCCTCAAGAATCTGGACGCATTTGTCAACATGCTCCTGGCATGATAATAGAAACATCCGCTGGAACCTGATGAAATGGGCAAAACCACAACATCAACAATCACTGCCATGCGGTCCTCCGGAATGTTCCGAAACCTTTCGGAGGGTGAAACCACAGATTTGAAAAGCCTGAGAGCCAAACAGGTGAAACGATGCACAGTGAGTCACTTCAATTGACTACAAGCGGTAAGGTCCCTGCAGTTGGAGGCTTCGCTTCCTGCGGCCGCGCGCCTCCAGGAAATGTTGTTCCTTAGAATCCCGAAGTGCAAGGCTCAGGATTCACCCTAAGTGCAAAGCTCAGCATGAGGTCCGAGCCCATGTGCGAAGCGGTGATGGCTCCTGCAAAATTGCGGCACTCCGGACTAAAATACCACAAGCACAGCATTGCAGCCGCGCCTTCTCCCGGCCAAAGCAGCACACGCAGTATGATGCCCCCATGGTAAATGGGTTCGGAGCACAAATGAAGGACTTGGACAACTTGAGCCGCAAGCTGACAGGGCCGAATGGAGGGATCAACATCATCATCATCATCACCATCATCATCATCATCATCATCAAGGGGTCTGCCGAGGCACGCTACCCAGTGAGCTGCAAATACTGTTGCTGTTTGTTCCTGCTACGGGTTGGCATGGGCCATGGGATGAGAACACAAGTCCGGCTCAGTCCTGTTGGCAGCGTGCATGCACTGGACGACGCTGGCTGAGGTTGTCCAGAACCATGTCCACTCCCTCTGCAGCCTCTTGCTCCAGGAAGGACTTCATGTCTTCAACTTTGTTTCGGCTGCGACTGCACTTAATGTACTTCACTCCCAAACCCTTCAAATACGGCTCTCCTGGCACAGAGCCGTCGCACTCCCGGCTCTCATGATGCGTCTTTGGTCTCGCCGAAAGCCATGATGAGTTTCTTTGGTTTTTCTCGACGAGTCTCAGACGAGCCTCATCAGGGCTCAGAACTTCTCAGAATTTTCTCAACATCTTTCAAGGATAAATCGAGAAGTGTTCCGAGTTCTGAGATCTCAAAGGTGGTTTTGGTGGTTTTGGTCGTCCTCGGCCCCTGCAGTGGCTCCCACATACTTGGCATATTGGATAGCGAGCAAACCCACGCAGCCAGCCGCAGCATGAATCAAAACCTCATATAAACTCATATCTTCAAAGATGTGCGAGTGAAGGGATTGAATCATGGGATATTCATGGGTAGTTTGACCAGGGACCACTTCATGCGGCACTCACTTGACATGTGTGTTTTTTTGCAGCCAACTGTGACCAAACAATAAGGGAAACATTTTGATTTGACGCTGCCCAAAAGGTCTGCGTATATAAAAAGCCTCCATTCTGTGAATGTTTGGTCTACCATGCACTCGAGCCTGTTCAGCGAGAATTCTGGAGGTAACTACGGCGTTACGCACGAGCCAGTCCTTGCAATGGAGTCAAGCAGGCCAACCCCAGCCCCTTGGGTAAAGCCTTCAAGCCATCATCGTCCAGCTCATAGTTCAACAGACCTCTGGCAGGGCAACCCAGTTTCGCTTGTACATCATGATGCATGTGGGCAGTGGACATCATTCTTCAACGGTGCAAGCACAGCTCCAAAAAAAACATTACTCGCTAGTTTAAAATCCTGCAAGCCTTGGCTATCTTGGACTCATGTAATGGGTCAATTTCTCCAGAAACCTGCGTTGTGTACGGGACCTAGTCTGCAATGCTGCGGCCAGGTTGCCTGAGAATAGGTAGAACTGATTCTTCGTCACTGTCAGACGCGTGGTCCTCACCATCCTCAATGTTGCGACAAGGTGTTCCCTCCAAAAGGGGGGTGCGTAACAAAGGCAGCTGTCATCCTGCGAGTGCGCCTTGCACGACCAGCAGGAGCCGAAATCGCAAATTGATGCCAGTAAGTCCTCACAATGGCCCGACGCAGTGTTGAGACTTGGGGGTTCATGTGAGTGATGCGTGGCACACAAAACAGTCACAACATTCCGATGTGCTCCTGTGCCATCTCTATTGTCGGGCAAAGCTCTTCCCACATTCCACGAAGTGAACTGCTCGCCAAGGTCATGACAAATCAACATTACTTGAACCGAAAATCCTGATGCGGGTGTCGCCACATGGATCCACATGGTATGCATGAAGCTCGACTGACATGGCCTTGTTGATAGCAAGTGGAAATTCATATATACCGGAACTCTCTGTATTTTGCATTACCGTATATGTATTTTGTTCACATTCCTTTTCCGGCGAGGCTGACAGCCCTGCAGAGATTGCTGCTGATACCTTCATGGCAACAGCCAAAGCCCCAAGTGCGCCTGATGATTCAGGAGTTTCCCAAAATGCCCTCACCGCTGCCAAATCTGAGCAGGATTGGAGGGTTGCTTCATTGCGAGCTGTTCATTATATTCATTTTTACGTTCAACATGTAGAGTGTGAAACCAACATAACTTTTCGTGCAGAATTCGTGAAAAAACATCCCATTCCAGAACAAAGAACATCACCAAGCTCAAGTCAGTGCAAAGAGAGCTCCAGAAGGGCTACACTGATGAATCCAGCGGTTCGTTCAAGCCTTGGCCGCAGGATGTTTTACACACAAGCTTAGAAACTCTCAAGTGGGAGCATGCCATGCATGCTCTCCAGAATATCACCTCGCCTCTAACCATCACCTAAGGTCAGTGAAGTATAGTGAAGTTATCGTGCGAACACATCGCCAAGTTAGAGGCTGAATATGACGTGCTCAATGAAGAACTTGCAACGGGAGAGACATCCACTTTTGAAACTGAACCCTTACCTCAGTTGAAATGGTGTACACGTGATATCAGTTCAACTATGTTCACCTGATCAATCACCCCATATCATACTATTTTGATTTTCATCATTTTGATCCTTTGCTCAAGCTGCCCAACCCAAATGCCTGGCTCCTCAGAACAAGCCTGGCCACTGCTGCTGAAACGAAGGTTCGGTGAAAACCTCAGTTAAATTCGAGGCGGGCCTCAAACACTCAGGATATTTCTTATTTCAAAGAGTTTTGCTTCGAAAATATATATATATGTACTGTAAGTCCATGCTGGTGCTTTAAATCCAAATTTCAAAAATGATTTGCATTTGGATGCATTTGGCAAGTATCTCCTTGGGATGGTACCTCGCACAGCCCTGGTACTTAGGAAGTCCAAGCACTTCTTGGAAAAGAAAGATGGGCAGAATGAACGAAGTAAGCAGAAACCTGGCAAAAGACAGGACGAACCTGCGGGGAAGGCTGCAGCAAAGTCTGTGCCGGCGTTGATTTCAAGTCAGCGAGTGGCGGATGGCGGTGGATACGTGTGGTTACATCTAAGCCAGTGGTCTTTGCTAATCCCGCACATTTTACCGCATGTTGGTCTTAAAGTTCGTCAACCCGAGGCATTGCTGATTGAGTCTGGGGTGCCTGCCACCTACGTCAGTGATCCTGCCAGTTGCAAGGTCTTTTCTGGCTGTGCATCTATAAGGGATGCGGTAGTCCGTTGGTCTGCCAACGATTTCAATAGGGGGTTGGGGTTGCAAAAGCCCCCCAGTCGACATCTTGAAACACTGAAAATCCAGATTGGGCGAGTGAATATTCAGACATATGCATGTAAGTATGATCTCAATCCATGATAGTGGGGTGCCGGGTCAGGCCTTCGCCGGCTGGTGAGTGAGATCGGAGCAGGGGTCAAAACCTCAGAAAACGAATCAAGACATCAAGGGCCACCATCAAGAACCAGAAACTTTGAGTCTGCTACTGCAGCACTTTTTCAAAGCAAAAGTTGGCCAGAGAAGGGAAACCCTTTGCGCTCCCTAGGTTCCATGTGCTCTTGCTATCCCGAGTGCCCGGGCTATTGTGCAAGAAGTCCCTGGCGCTGCCCAGAGCAGTATTGGTGCATTAGTTTCATTGACTGGCAAATCTGAAAGAGATGCCCACAACCTAGCGAAGACGATTCCTTTCTTGCTTGCACTAACAGTCAGGCACGCGCGGAAAAAATATTGCTGTTGCTCATCAAGCCACTCCAAAGTTGGGACTGCAAGCATGTACTGTGATGTACTGTGCATCTATTCATATACCGTATGCCGCCATGTGTTTCTTTTTATGGCTTGACCCTGCCAAAATTGGTCTGAGCGGAGCCCAACAGGCTCCCTTTTTGGTATGCTGACCATGTAGCCAATGGACCTCCAACGGGAAAATCTGGGCTGAAATCAACTCGAAACAGAGCGGGACACAAGCAAAGCATGTTGCAAAAGCCACTCTGGCTTGATTTTCCCGAATCTCTCCCAACATCAATGGCTGGTTGTGCGATGGATAAGGTTGCTCGGGTTGGTTGCCTCAGACCTCCCCGGTGCACCGCTGCCTTTGGTTGGGAGGTTCAAGCGTTTGATCTCCTGGGGCACTAAATGACGATCGCAGAACAAACATCAACAAACCATCAACATGCGAAGTACAGTAAGTAAAGAACAATGGAAAACTATTGTGTGTGTAATACCCCTTCTCTGTTTCATTTACCTTGTGATCTTTTGAAAATCATTTCCCTTGGGTCTCCGGACAGGTCCAGGGCACCGCTTCGGAAAGCTTCTGCACTGCGCAACTCGGCCTGAAAGGTTAGCTTTTGAAAAGACAGGATGAATGGATCAAAATGCGAAAAATCATGCGAAAAATCAGCTGAACCAGATTGGCAGTTCCAATGGAAGCTCTCTGGAACGTGAATCAAATCAATCAAGGTGATCTCATCACGTCCAATCATGGTTGTGGCTGTAGTCGGAGGTGTAATCAAATGATTCACATCTGGATCATCTGGTCTGTGGATCATATCACCGTGGCCAAGGAAACCATGGACTGGATGGACTGGTTCAGTTGCGCTAAACAGAGTGATTGGATCAACTATGGACGCAATGATGGATGCAGTTCTGTTGGCAAAAAACAAAGCAACACCTCCAAATCAAATACTCCCAAAATCTCCAGTTCTTACTGCAGCCCTGTGGTCAAGGACACCATTCCCCTTTACACTGCGCCTTGGACACCAGCATCAACACGATTAGAAGCTCGATCGCAAAGTCTCGACGTCGATCATCATGCTGGCTTCATGATCTTTGATGCCACCTCAAAGGGGATCAATCCGGGATCCAATTGATTTGAAGGTTCAGTTTTATAAACCCTTGTGGTTCATGTATAGTTATGATATGTTATGATTATCAACCATGATGTGAACAAACAAATCACAACGTTTGATGGATCAACTATGACTACGAACAATATGATCAAATATGGCTTCAGAATGGAAATGATGGTCTGCGAGAACATGCCAGCACCATATAAACTTTAAGTTGTTTTGAAATATTGGTCTACAAAACATGTTCAGCTCACGTGTGTCAACTGCATAATGAAGCATCTCAAAAAATATGTACTTACGTATGATATGACTGTCCGCGCAAAACACTCACCTGTCAATCGACACAATTACTGACATGTTGCCACTATTGAACGTGAAAGAAAACGGATCCATGGAAAAACGGACATCCTTGATGGTTACTAGAACGATGCTTGCTTTACAGCTGGATTCGTTTTAGTACCTGAAATCACGCAAAAACAGTGCAAATACATGCAAATACCAATAATTTAAGTGAAATTATAGTTTTTGGGGACCACACACACACATACATATATATATATATATAAATTACATACAGGCATGAAAATATTTATATATTAATATATATATATATATGTGTGTGCCCAATACGGTAATGCTATGTGTACATTTTTTCTGCTGCAATCTTCTACTTCAATTGAATTGCTCAGACCGTGCAACGAAAGTTGAAATGGCATGAATTTCAACTTGCTCAGACCTGTGCCCACAATGTTCCTTAGCTTCCGCCCAAGCAACCCGACCGCTTTTTCCGTATTTCTCGACCATGCTTCCGGCCTCTGCTGAACTGCAGTGTGGGTTTGCAACACCAAGGCATCGCTCGCTGAGATTAAAACTCCAGCTGCGGATTCCTTCCAGAAACCACCATGGCGCAGCACAAAGCTACGGCTGTGGACCATTTTGACTGTTCTGAAGGGATGATCGTAACTGAACATGGGATTGTGGTGCGTCATGTGGCCCGTGAAATATCTGCAACACAGAATTGCCCTCAATTTACTGCTCGCAGCGCTACCCTGAACACAGGGTCTACGCAACATACCAAGCTTTCCGCCTAAAGTCCTAGCTGTGCATTGACAATAATACTTACGCAGGCGGGATCTGGGGATCATCAAGAATACCTGTTTTTTCCCTTCTTGTCAACCATACAATGATTCCATCGCGTTGCTTCATCTACCCATGATTTGAGATACCTCAGACAAGGCAGCCGGTCAATGTTCATGAGCTGCAGAACTGAAACAGAATTTTCTATCTACAGTACAGTTCAGTTTACAGCCTCCAGCGCAAATCAATGTATATACCATGGAAAATCCAAACAGAAATCTTAGCAAAGGTCATCATTGCCCCAAATGGATCCTAGTGTCCTAGTGCTATTGCTTGAGTGTCATGCAGCCTGACACTTGACACTGAGATCCGCGCTGGTGACTGGCGGTGCAAAAGGTGTGGTGTCACCAGGTGTCACTAGGCGCGAGTTCAAGGTGGTGACCTGACATGGGCAGCGGAAATAATTCTATCCGTTTCCGATGCATGAAATAATGATGAAATATGAATATCAAGCGGAGATTGGTGACATTGCTGCCAAACACAAACGAGTAGATTCACATTGATCGCAGAATTCAGAAAATCATTTTGGAACCAGCACTTTTCGGGCGAACAAGGTGTCGAACTAAACCCAGCTTGGTTCACCCACCCAATGGGACTTGGCCTTCACACCGTGGTATGCTGCCATCTTTTGGGTGTTGCATTGGCCTGCAGCAAACCGGAGCACCAAATCCCATGACTGGCATTGGGACCAGATCGCTCCGGAGAGACCACGGACTCCAACGCCATCTTCAACCAGTAACGGCTGTCAGAGCAACAACGAGTGTCGCTTCTGCTGCAACCTCTTTTTGCCAATCTTCCTGCCACGGTCACGGATCAGCCACGAACTGAACAGCCAAAGCCATCGTAAACAACAAGGGGTTCGACCAACTTGACAGATTCCCGCACCAAAATCTCACCCAACACCCTGCCGTCAACGTCAGAAAGAAACCGCGCAGCATGCTCCAATTCTCCGACGAATTGGCTGACGTGAACCTGTGTTCGGAATTGCGAATCCATAAGAACATCATAGAACATCATGAGTCAGAATAAGCCCTTTGCAATCCTGGCACATAGAATAACTGCTAAAAGACCCCAATGCGCGTGTCAATGCTGCAAGAAATTGGGGCGGTTTCACTTCCAACTGATCGAATGTTCTGAGCTTCTGGCTTGGAGAGCATGGCATAAACCTGAAGTTGAGCAAAACTTCGGCACCCTGCGTCATACCATTGGGATCCAGCGGGGGCCAGCAAAAATGCGGGATTTACTTTCAAAGGGCCTCAGTGGCAAAAAACGTGATATCACAAGATGGGATGGGAATTCTGTGACGATGGAAACCAGCCATCTTAACAGGTTAATGTGTGTAACCCAAAAAATACATGTACTATTTCGGGAGAGTTCATGCCAAATATGCCAAATCGGGGCGTGGTTTATCATTCGGTTCCCGGCATGACCATCCTGTTCATGGAAGCTAGCTGTGTTTGATGCACCGTTCATCAGTAGATGTTTGCTTGCCATGCTAGTTTACAGGACAAGCAAACTAATTCTGGCCATCTACTGTATTTGCGCCCAGTTGGATTAAATTGGTTAACAACTTGGTCACTATCAGCCCATCAATCTTAACCGCCGTACTGTTGAACTTGCACAATTGCCCTGGACAATACGTATGATTTCATGTTGGTTTATGTTGGTTTGGAAGCCACCCTCAACCCCTGATCAGCTCATGGTCTCTCGGTGTGCCGACTCTCAAGGCTCCGGTATCACAGGGGGCATGACAGCCATGCCGATCGGTTGAATATCACTCCTGGCCATGATCGGCATGTCATCACACATCATCTATGAACCTATGGCCATTGAAAGGTGATGCGGTACATTTGCCAATCCCTGCAGCATTGAGAACCAAGCATATTCATTCATGGTTGGTAGTTCAAAGTGAGGTTTGTTTGTTCTTTTCGGTTTATTAGAGTTGACTAACCAAACAATCCACGTATGGTTCAGCACAATTCAACCCTGTCAAGTCAGCCAGAAAATGCCAAGGATGGCGCCTGCGCCTCTTTTCGAGTTGCCGGGGGTGGAAATCGCCTTTCCAACCACCCAGGTCCAAGATTCAAAGGAGTACTGTCATTCAAACAACGTGGCTTGCGCCATCTCTGGATAGAATTTCCGACACTCTGCGTAAATCTCATTCTGCACACTTTCTTTGGTTAGGGTACAGTTCTCAAATGTCCAGTCTATGGGCCCTTCCGCCACTGGCTCATCGTCCGGCCGGTGGAAATCGTGAAAATATTTTAACTCCAAGCATTCGCCGGCAGTGGCCCTCCTTTTGGGGTTGAATGTCAGCATTCGTTCAATTGCCTCGGCGCCTGCCTCGGTTGCCTTCGGGCAGACGGATTTCCAGTCCAGCTTGGTTGCAGGTAGATAAGGCAACACCTGCTCAAGAAACGTCCTTGCACGTTGAGACAGCAAAGTCAGGTCATCCTCTTTGGGGGGCCCTAACACTTGCAAGATCTTCACTATCTGGTCCAGAGGGCCTTCTCCAGTGAAGATAGGTCGTCGGCGAATCAACTCGCAAAGGATGCACCCAACTGACCATACGTCGATGGACTTGGTGTAGCTTTTGGGAAGTAACGTCACCTCGGGCGCGCGGTACCATCTGGTCACCACATAGTCTGTCAAGTTGGCATTGTCCTCTTCCTGCTCACCAAGGGCACGTGCCAAACCAAAGTCGCAAATTTTGAGGTGACAGTCTTTGTTTGCCAGGATGTTTGCTGGCTTCAAGTCGCGATGCACCACATTAGCACTGTGTAAGTATTTCAGCCCTCTCAGAATTTGGTACGAGAAGTACTGATGGTGCTCTTCAGACAAGACCTGTTTAGAAACTATGATCCGATGCAGGTCGGTTTCCATCAGGTCACTGACCAAGTAAATCTCGTCGCAGTGAGGATTTTGTTGCAGATACATGTCCAGGATGTTGATGACATTCTCATGCTTCAAGCTCCGCAAGAGCTTCACCTCGCGAATGAGCCGCTTACCATCCACCAAAGAATGATGGGTGTCATGCCCGACGGTGACCTTCTTAACGGCCACCTGGGCTTGACCGGACTGAAGCTTGACCACGGTGCCACTTGCACCGGACCCAACCTTCTTGATCAGCTCAAAACGAGCAGGCACCTTAAATGGCACTCCATCGATAGGGATTTGCTTCCAAGTCGAGCCTTCAGGCTTCGCCGGTTGTTGCCTGACGGGCCGCTCAAAGCACTGGTGGATCCGCTGCCAGCCCTCCGATGGCATTGCCCGGAAGTCACCGGGTGCCTGGTGTCCTTGTTGGATGCCTGGCAAAATCTCAGGGCATGTCCTGTGAAAGAAGTCCACCACAAACCTGGAACCCTGGCAAACCTGCAGTGAGTTAATCTCAGCTTGCACTGTATGCTCCATGCCTCGGTGCTGCACAACTGCACCCGAGATCTTCTTAAAGGCATAGTGGTTCCCCTGGAGGTCCACTCGCCTCACCACGTCGCCGAAGGCGCTGTGGCCCAGGAGTGAAGACTTCGGTGGAGACTCCGGTTCCTTGCCAGCAGGTGAATGGCCAAAGGGGTGACGAAGTGAAACAGCATGAAGACCGAAAAAGATCATGAAGTGGAATGGTGCCAACGTGAAATTCGGAAAAAGACTGAAGCAAATAAAAAAAACAGAAAACATTGGCACTGCAGGACCAAGGCGCAGCAGGTACAACTTCATCAAGCTTCTCTTTGAGCTCGATCGCACCGCAAAAAAGAAACTCTGCAGTAAGTTGGGACTTCCTGCGCTGTAGCCACAAATCTGCAACTGCAACACTTTGGAAGCAGACTTGCAAAAATGTCAGGATTTCCATCCCGCGAGAACTTTCCTTGCTTGATGCTAGACAGGGCTGCAGGCCACAACCCTTGAAAAACAAACGCGCTTGGAGCTCATGCGGAGAACAAATCAGCTCTAGCATGCTCTAGCAATTGGCAGGCTGATGGCAGAAGATTAGCCCACCTGTCAATACCTTTTGGGCTTTTCGAACAGCTGCTTCTCAATATGGGGTATCCTCATAAACCGTGTTAAAATGCCACAAAATTTCACAAAACCTTCCAAAACATGATGCCAATCCATGACAAGCATTTCGCGCCAGACTTCCGGCGATTTTCACAGTTGGCAACATAACAAAAGGACAGGTTTTGCAGCTTCCCCCATAGACACGGCGAAGCCACGGGCCAACCAGAGACTCGAGACGAGACACGTGGGAGCACCAAAAAGAGTATTTCGTACGAGACGTCCTCCAATTTTGACACTTTGCAGCTTCAAAATCGACGTTTTCCTACGAGTTTTCCTTAGAACCTAAAAATTTGCAACCTCAAAATCGTGCGAGGCTTCCGTCAATTTTCAGCACATGTCACAAAATGCCACGCCTGCCACGGAATTTGCACCTTGTCGCCACTTGACGCAGCCCTGCCAATGCGATTTACAAAAAACACGCAACAGGACACGTCTAAAGTGCTGCGCCTGCCACGAAAAATGACGATGGACACGTCCAAAGTGCTGCGCCTGCCACGAAAACTGCAACACATCTTCTGAAAACGTCACAAAAGTATTGCGCCTGCCACGCAAAACGATTTTCCACACGTTCCAGAACACGTCTGAATGTCACGAAATGCCACGCCTGCCACGCGAAACGAAGCAACCAGACCTCTGAAACCTCCAAAAAGGACCACCTCTGCAAAGCTTCCCATAGGCACGGCCATACGGGGATCGCGCGGACGGTTGCGAACGGTTGCGAACGGTTGCGAACGGTTGCGAACGGTTGCGAACGGTTGCGGACGCGGAAGCAACGTCGAGCGAACACACCCTCAACCCCCAGACCCCCAGAGTGAAACGGGAACCCTTGCTACGCATTCGGGAAAAAGACTGCACATCATCATATTGCTACATTTGATTACTGATCCTAACCAAGTCCAACAAGTCATGTTTGCTGAAATCAAATGGCTGATCAGCTTGGAGGTTGATTCTACATAGCAATAAGGAAAACATATATAAAGATACCGTGCTTTATCAAATGTTGTCACAATTAGAACAATTTTAACGTCACAACGAATGCATCCCTTAGATATTCTACAAGAAAGCAGTGCATCTCCTGCTGCAAAGAGACAACAGATTTTTTTTGCCAAGTTTGTCCACCAAAATCTGCGCGCTTGAAATTCAACCTCAATGCAAAATCTACGTGCAAGATGGCAATAATTATTGCAAAACAAAACAATCACCTACATTCCACACGCAACAGATCGAAACTAGAACCCTTTCAGTATTGAAAAAAGGAATCCCCACTGGCTTCCAATTCCAAACCTTTCCTTTGAGGCAAAGACGCTGCCACAGCCCCAATGTCTTTGCTCGCTAACTGCACCTGGCACAGCGGTCGAAAGAAACAACGTTGCCAAAGCTAAACCGCCAAACACTGAGAAAAAAAACAAAAACAGAACAACAAAGACGTTTCATATGTGCACTAAAGAACCAAACATCGCACCCAGGTAAAACTGAGAAACCCGCTTGACGACAAAGGCAATTGAACATCGGCTGTCTCCTGGCAATGGAAAAAAACATATGATTGATGACAAGAAACTTCAATATATACAGCAAAGTTCCATCTGCACAAACCCGGCATCCTAAAGCAAAAACACACAACAAACAGCCTAAGTTGCAGACATACTTGAAGCTTTCCGGCTTTTCTTT